TACCTTCGTCATCCATATTTCGAGCATTGTGAATCGCTAGATTCATTGTACAAATATGAAAACGAACGGGTGATGCAATACCCGCGAAAATGGCCCGAACTGACACGCCTTCGTCTACGATGTTGTCACGCCGCAATAACGCTCTTCAGGACGAACAACCGCGAACACGGTGATAATCAATGCTCAGTTAAAGTCGACAACACTTTCAAAAATATAGGAGCACTCGAGACGCGTTTATTAAGCCAGCGGCACACGATGAATGTGCTATTATACCCATTCGAGACCTCTATGCGACACAGCGCGCTTACGACCCTTTATATATTCGCACCTTTTTCGTCCCTTTGTATATCACTACCCTACTGACCTCTCCATGTTTATAAGCACGTTTTCGGCCTTTTTCGAGTATGGAAGCGTATGCATCCAACAAATAAGTATGCCAATTATGGTTTTTATTGTACATGCAATAAATAACTAGAAAATCAAATGGCATACCAAATACTATCATACCTTATCAACTGTGTTGACGCACGTCTTTAAATCGACGTAACGATATTTTCATCCACCCGAGCAGCTAAGCTGAAGTATTTGCTGTATCACTACTATCGAATGTGTCGTCTGATTCATTCTCATAACTAAAGTCAATTTCTTCAACATCGTTTACAAAAAAATCGTCTATACAATAATCTTCGTCATTCATGTTTTTTATATGGGTCGCTAGATCTATTGTAAATATGAAAACGAACGGGTGATGCAATACCCGCGAAAATGGCCCGAATTCTTTCAAAAATATATAACAATGAGCACTTGAGCAGAAACGCGTCTATTAAGCCACACGATGTATCTGTTATTGTACCTAGACCTCTACTGCGACACAGCGCGCTTACGACCCTTTATATATTCGCAACTTTTCGTCCATTTCCATTTGTATATCCCTACTGACCTCTCCATGTCACCGATTTTCCTAGAAATGCATCTCGAAAGAAAGCGCATCTAATACAATATTGTAGACTTAATTTTGTCTGTTAAGTAACTTTAAATTGTAATATAATGGAAAATAGAAAATATACCCGTTCGTTTTACATAAAAAATTTTTCTATTTAAATAAATTTTTTTCATTTTGTTTTTAAATTAATTATGATATAATTTTTTTAAAGAAGAATTACTTGGTAATTCACTTGGTAAATCACTTGGTTTCGAATAGGAAGATCTTTCAATAAGAATACAAAGGCATATACTTAGGTTTCATTGTATGTATGAAGATAAAGATAGTACCACATGGGTTTTACTTTTTAATTTAATAGAATTTAACTTGGCGCCGACTGTTGATATCAAATCTTGTATACAAATGATAAACGTCATTAAAATTAAGTAAGTAATAAGGTAGAATAACTTGGCGCCGACTATTGATATTAAATCTTTTATACAAATGATAAACGTCATTAAAATTAAATAAGTAATAAGGTAGAATAACTTGGCGCCGACTATTAATATCAAATCTTTTATACAAATGATACATGTCATTAGAATTAAGTAAGTAAGGATAATATCATGTAGGTTTTCAAAGATGGTATGTATTTAATATGAGATGAGAGATGCAGTGGAAAACGGAGGCGATTCGAAAATCGGCCGAAGGTTATATACACTTTACGTACAGTTACTCTTCGTGGTAATATATTATGCGTGGTGCGGTGTTGTGAGGAGGACAACGAAAGCTAGACGAAAACGATTCGAAAATCAACCGAAAGTTGCACTGTCCCCCGTGCCGCTCCGCGTGCAGTTGAACGAAATGTTCCATGACAATCGAATGGCATTGTTCTGCGCGCGGAGCGGTGAGGTGAGGGGAACAGCGAAAGCTAGACGATGGCGATTCGAAAATCAGCCGAAAGTTGCATTTGCCCGCCCCTCCTCACCTCATCTCACCGCGTGCAGTCCAAGTGCTCCATGATGGTCGAATGGCATTGTACTGTGCGCGGTGCGATACGGTAAGAGGGACTGCGAAAGCTGGACGAAAACTATTCGAAAATTCGAAAGTTGCACCCCTCTCACCTCACCGCTCCGCTCGCAGTCCACATGCCCTCATGACGATCGAGCGGTATAGACTAGCGCCACATTTGCCTCTTGCGGCAGGAATATCAGAAGGACATCGAATGGAATGTGGTCGACGATAATGACAATAACGATGATGATAATAATAACGACGACAATAATAATGACGACGACGTATCTTAAAAATAAAACGTGAAAATTTACAGATTCGGACTTTAAGTCGTGATATCTTCGCTCGTAGGACACGTAGAGAAAAAATGAAAGCACTTTTATGATACAATTTAAGCAATTGCTATCGATTGAGCGTATATAGAACTTGATCCGTTCAGCCGTTAGTGAGATCTGATCATCTCAATCCCCCGAAACTCTCAGTTTCGCGTAAAGGAGGCACGGCAGTGCCGCGGCGCTTGGCTTAGCGCCAAGACACTACCGTGTCTCCAGATCACGTTCCGAAAATCCATTTTTTAGATATGAACTAAAACGTCTCTTTATATGTGCTCCATACGTATTCGTACCGCGTTGGGAGCACAAGATACCGTTCAATGAATACAGTCCAGTACGCATCATTATCGTACTAGCTATTATTATAAGAGCTTTTTACAATGTTGTAATAATAATAATAGTAATAGTAATAGTGATCTTGTTCAACTCCGAAACCATAGTCAAATGTTTTTGATAATATATACAAAAATGTACCTCGGGCAATTAAAATCAACGTGTGAATAAAAAAATTGATATATTTGTAAAAATTTCATTTTTCATTTTAGTCGTACAGCAGCTAATTGCAGTGTTCAATGTTAATATTAACATGGTCCGCGAAAAGTAGTCACGGCAATGTCGCTTGACTTGGTTTACTGTTGAGACACTACCGTGCTAAATAATGTATTGCAAAATATTGCGTATTAATTTACTATTAGGAGAAAAATAGATATTCTGACGCATAGTTTTGCATGTATAGCTATTTTCTTACATTATAGCTATAAAATAAATCTTATTTGCAACTCTAGGTATAAAATAAATTTGCTCCTATGTCCAGTAGCTTACAATTAGTAGCATATGCACGATACTAATATTAAGCGCTAACGTATTTTTTATATCATTAATACTTTTATAAATGTCATAAAATGCTCCTTTTTATGCTTTCAATTTCTTGCTTAAGGGGATCCTAAAGTCGTCCTGTTTTATCACGATTCTGTTTGAGAAGAAATATTCGTATTGGCTTTACGGATTGCACAATCCTTTCATAGAATAAAAGTACGCACGAAAAGATATCCTGGTAAATATGATTTAACCAGAAAATCGGAAAAAAATTTTTTTAATTCACTTTTTCTGACACGCATAGCTGTCACTTGAGGTTAATATTCACTTAAGGCTCCTGAATACCGGCGACGGCCATATTGGAATTGTGACGTCATAGACGAGAAAAACACATTAATTTTTCTTGTGTCTCATTTTTTAATAAAGAAAATTTGGATAAATCTAAAAGGCGAGATTGTTCAAAAACACTTGTGAAAATTGGCGGAAACTATCCTTTCCTCCTCTGATAGTCAGTAAATGGTCGTAAAAGGCACGTAAAGTGAGTTTATACTCGGGCAGAATCACACAGTTTAACAGCTGATGAAACGAGTGAAATATACGCTTTTACGTATAAAATTTCACGATAACTGTAGTTTCCGCCAATTTTTAGGACTTTCACGAGTGCTAGGGAAGTCACATTTTCACAAATAAGCAAATATTGACGAAATGGCAAGAAAATTTTTGTCGTCAAAACTGGTCAAAACATCACTTTTCCACGCCTGTTAGTTCAGTCTTTTACCATGGCGAGGCGCTATTCACACACACAAGCATGAACCCGTGTCTGTGTGCTCCCCTTCTACCCGAAAATGAGCACACGGACATGAGCTTGCATTTGTGTGTATAACCAGTAGCGTACTACCAGTTTTGCTAGCCACCGACTAATTCGGTGTCGCTATCATCAACACGGGAGTTCTTGGCTGAGTATTCAGGAGTCTTAATATAAAAGTTTTAGAGACCATAGATTGAAAATAAGCGTCAGTCAGGCATCGGATTACTTGAACGAACAATACTGAGTTTGCGGAACCAAGATTATAAATGCGTAGAAAAAAATATTTCTCAAATAGAAATCACATTTTATGCGAAGATTCGGAACGTCAACAGAGTTTGACAGAGACGAAATTGCGTTTAGAAGTAGTTGCGCCGTCTTGAAATAGATGGCGTTGTAAAGCATTGTGTTGCGGTGTTGCAGGCGTTAACTGCGGCGCTGAAGTCTGTTCTTTTTCAGTTTCCTATCTCGAATATACTCGTTGGTTAGAGAGATAAGGCCGCAGCACACACTTTTGCATGACGCATAAGAGAATCAAACAATCAAAATGCTTCTCTTCCGTGAAGTGGGAGGAAAAGAAGGACTCTTGATTCTTTTATGCACTATGCGTTATGCAAGAGTCTGTGCTGCGGCCTATAGAAGCGTCCACCATATTGCGTGAGTCATGCGTACCTTTTGTAAAAACACGGCGATTAATTGTAAGTAGTGCTTTGTAAAATGTATTATTTCCTTTTTAAGTTACGTCACGAGATCTTTATTGTTTATGCCGTTAGACAATAATCTTGTCATTAATTTCTACCAAAGTTCTGTGTATCATAGCTGGTCTTGCGATACCGTTATTATTAATGTCATACGCACGCGATCACGTCTATACGAGTTATACATAGCATGTTCATTTAAGTTAGTAATAAATTATCTTTAAATTTGAGTCAGATTCAGTGATTAATCTTTCACTGCGGACTAAGGATTTTCCTGCCTTCCATTTCGCTTTCAGCGAATTATCGTTGGCGTCAGACACGCATAGTGTTGGGCAACGAGACACGTTAACCCCCACAACTGGTGATCCCGACGCGATCGCGTCGCGTCCATGCAATCGTTTTTAGTCGTAGACATGACCAGTGGCTCAAGCGATCCTCCTTCGGGCGATCAGAGTAGCGGTACGTCGCAGCGTTCATACGATGAAGTGCCCGCGCTTTCACGAATCGGAATGCGACCCACGCCTTTTTGGAAAACGAAGCCGGATCTATGGTTCGTGCAGATGGAAGCCCAATTCCTTACAGCGAATATAACGGTAGATGTAATCAAATACAATTATGTAATACAGTGCCTTGACGACACTTCTCTGACAGAAGTTAATGACATTGTGCTTAACCCTCCCGCGACAGATAAGTACGCCACGCTCAAAAATAGGTTAGGCAATAGCTTCGCGGATAGTGCCGAAAGAAAATTGCATAAATTGTTAAATGAGGTTGATCTAGGCGATCGTCGTCCGTCACAGTTGCTTCGCAGAATGAGGGACCTTGCGCAAAACGGCGTATCAAAAGAAGTACTTAGATCCTTATGGTTGCATCACTTGCCACAACAGATACAGGTTATTTTAACAGCTACAAAATATGATCTGGAAGAGCTATCGCAGCTGGTAGACCGAGTAACGGATGTATTACCTATTGGCAATAACACTGTCGCAACTTTTACACCGAATCAAGCTACCTCAATGGATTCGCAATGTCTGCGCTGCTGGATAGAAAAACTGGAAACACGTTTATTATGCCGCAAGTCACATGTCTCATCGGACCGTCGTCGCAGAAGCCGTTCAAGATCTAAATCGAAGAATCGCCTTTGCTGGTATCGCAGACGTTTTGGCGGAAATGCCACCAAGTGTACGCAACCTTGCGGCTGGAAAACGGCTGTGCTGGAAAACTAGAAGCCGATCTATCTCCGGCGCCAGATAGTTTGGCCATGGCAGCGCGCCGCCTCATAGTCAGTTATTCAATTCCCTTCTTACAGACAGCACACATTTTCTGCATGCCAAAACCATATTTTCTACGATAGATCTAGTACGTGCATATCAGCAAATTCCAGTCCGCAAATCGAATATTCCTAAAACTGCTATTATCACACCGTTAGGACTTTTCGAATTTCCGTACATGACATTCGGATTTCGAAACGCTGCTTAAACTTTTCAAAGGTTTATGGATCGGGTAACTGCAGGTCTCGATTTCTGTTTTACTTATATTGACGACATTCTAATCGCTTCACAGGACGAGATACAGCACAAGAAACACTTTGAAATACTATTCAACAGGTTGCAACAGTATAGCGTAGCAATCAACTCGAACAAATGTGTATTTGACCAGAAAAAAGTCAATTTCCTTGGACACACTATCACCGTCACTGGTATTAAGCCTGTTCCAGAGAAAGTCCGAGCGATCACCGAATTTCCGGAACCAGCTACAGTTAAAGAATTTCGACGTTTCTTGAGGATGCTCAATTTTTATAACCGGTTTCTCAAGAACCTCGCAAGCATGTAGACGCCATTGCTGAACGCTATCTCAGGGCATAAACGAGGCACCGCAAAAATTAAGTGGACTCCTGAGCTCAGACAATCCTTCCAACAAGTTAAGGAACATCTCGCTCAAGTCACCTCGCTTACATTTCCTGACAGCAATGCGACATTCTCGTTACAAACAGACGCCTCTGACAAAGCAATCGGCGCTGCATTACAGCAGCGGCACAGCGACGGGATATTGTAGTCTCTCAGTTTCTTTTCAAGGAAGCTTACACCTGCGCAAGCAAGGTATAGCGCATACGATGGAGAATTACTAGCTATCTATACAGTCATCAAACACTTCCGATACATGTTAGAAGGACAGAGTTTTCACATCCTCACGGATTATAATCTCATTTACGCATTCAAGAGAAGTTCAGATCAACAGTCGCCAAGATAAATCCGCCAACTACTTTTCATCTTGGAATTCACAACTGACGTTCGTCACGTCTCAGGTGCTGAGAACATCGGTAGCAGATGCATTATCTTGCGCCGACACTATTGTGATGCCAACCAGCCTCGATATGCAAGAAATCGCAGTAGCTCAAGTCTCAGACGAGGAATTACAGCAACTAAAACAGTCTACATCAACCTTTCTGAAGCTCAAAAAGTTTACATTATCGGAAACGGCATCCATCATTTACTGTGACACTTCAGAAGAAGAGGTAAGACCGTATATTCCAGGACCATTACGCAGACGAGTTTTCGATCTGGTAAATCAAATGTCTCACCCAAGTGGCAGAGCAACTCACCGGCAAATCGTGCAGAAATTCGTGTGGCCCTCCATGGCTAAGGACATTAAGAAGTGGGCCCGCACCTGCTTAGCATGCCAGCAATCCAAAATTCATCGGAACACTCATACGTCACCCATCAATATACCAATACCCGTTTCGAATACGTCCATATCGATATTGTCGGCCCCTTACCTTCATCTAAAGGAGGTTACAGGTATTTATTAACAATGTTTGACCGATTCACACGTTGGCCAGAAGCTATTTCAATGTAGGACTGCACTGCGTACACGGTAGCGAAGATGTTCTTCACCCACTGGATAGCCAGATTCGGAGCTTCACGCCTAATTACAAGCGATCAAGGTTCGCAATTTGAAGCACAACTGTTCGACGTACTGACTAAGCTCGTCAGTTCGAAGCGTTGTCGAACAATTGCGTATCATCTTGAAGCTAATGGGATCATCGAGCGATGGCATCGTTCTTTAAAAATTGCATTAATGTTCCATGGTGAAGCTCAATGGACGGATGCATTGCCAGTACATACTGCTTGGTCTGAGAACTTGCTTTAAAGAAGATCTAGGTACTTTCGTAGCGGAATTGGTTTATGGTACTACACTTAAAGTACCGGGCGAGTTTTTCTCCTCTGAAGAAATGCCGAGCGACACACGAATTTTCGTCGAAGATTTTCGCGTAATTATGCAAAAGTTACAACCTAAGCCAACCTTTCATCACACATTAGACCGAAATTATTTTTCTATAAAGATTTATATAACTGCTCACATGTCTTTCTTAAAGCAGAAGGTAACAGGCGTCCTTTGGACCAACCGTACACCGGACCGCATAAAGTTTTAGAGCGTATCTCGGATAAAGTCTGCTATTGAAGTTAACGGTAGATGCACCAACGTTACTGTTGACAGACTTAAACATATTTAATAATACTTATTTAATAATACAGGACTCAGAAACTACTCCGACTACTGCGTTTCCGTTCTCAACTAATATACCAGTGCAATGTGAACCAAAGACTTACTCGGGTCCGGCAACCAAACGAAAGACGATTAGATTTAAGATTTAATTCACACAATATAAAATTAAGCAACCAATTAAGAATAAATTACTGTTTATTTTGTTTAATATTACTCTTTGTTATTTTTGTTTTAGTTATTGTAATCAGTATTCTTTCCATAATGTTAACACAGAGGGGAAAATACTGTGGCGTTGCAGGCGTTAGCTGTAACGCTCAAATCTGTTCTTTTTTTCAATTTCCTATCTTGAATATATTCGTTGATTAGAGAGATAGAAGCGTCCAACGTATTGCGTGCGTCATGCGTACTTTTTGTAAAAATACGGCGATTAATTGTAAGTAGCGCTTTGTAAGATGTATTATTTCCTTTTTAAGTTATGTCGCGAGATCTTTATTGTTCATGTCGTTAGACAATAATCTTGTCATTAATTTCTAAGTTCTGCGTGTCATAGCCGATATCTTGCGATATCGTTATTATTAATGTCATACGCACACGATCACGTCTACACGAGTTAGCATATTCATTTGAGTTATAAATCTTTAAATTTGAGTCAGATTCAATGTCAGATTAACTTTTCATTGCGGACTAAGCATTTCCCCATCTTTCCATTTCGCTTTCAGCGAATTATCGTTGGCATCAAACACGCACGGCCCAGTATTGGACAACGAGACACGTTAGTCCCCACACTGTAAAAACAGGTATTGAAGGTGATCCTACTGTGCCAGCAAAAGTGAATTTTTTAATTTTTTTTCCTATTTTCTGGTTAATGTTTACCAGGATACCTTTTCGTGCGTACTTTTATTCTGTAAAAGGATTTTGCAATCCGTAAAATCAATTCGGATATTTCTCCTGAAGTATAATCATGATAAAACAGGACAAAGACTGAGCTCGAACACGGCCGTGAGTGAGAGA